TCTAATTGCATTTATTTGATGTATCAAACAGTTCTCAGGTCTGTAATTGCATTTATTTGATGTATCAAACAGTTCTCAGGTCTGTGAACCCGTAAGTTTGAAGACAACTGCCCTTCAAATCATATTTCAGTTTCACACGAAACTCAAAGGCTGCCGTTCACATGCCTTCCTCTGACTGTGGTTCTTATTTATCTTGTTCACGTTGGAAAATCTTGCTCTTTCTTTGACAGCCCTTGCATAATCCATGGTTTTTCTTTCAATGTGGGCACCTAAGAATATTGTATTTGCTAAATGCACTGGCTGAGATACCTCCTTGTACATGCAATGGGAAAGAGGAATAAAATATTCCCCAAATATTGGGAAAATCTTCATTTCCCTGTGGCTATAAAACACCACTTAACAATCATACTAAAGGATTTAGTATTTTACATAAGCTCTTCATATAGTAAGAACACGCTTTTACTTTGTAGTATTTTTTTAAACATTGATGTTTTACAAATATTAATGGATCAATACCATTTTGTCACTGGCTAGTTCATAGCATTTTTCTTTTTAAGTATGTCACAGGCTCATAGTGCTCTATTCATCAGAGAAATTATATCCCATCCATAAAAAGGTGAACATACTTACGTAAAATATGGATTAAATACATGCACAGACAATTTCGGGACAAATGATAAGAATACGCAGCATGAAGAGAGATGGACTCTTGGATCCAGGGCTGGAAATTCTGAGACAAGAGCTCATTAGGATAAAGTTCAGCCTGACAGCATATAATCAGTCAGTCGCTCTCAGTAACCTTAATGCCCAATTGTGTGGCTGGAGCAACCAGTCAGGAGACTTTAATCATCCAGAAAAGACAAATTAAAATAACCTTCCAGATAGGGTTGTGGTCCTATCTACAGGGTGCTCTGAAAGAAGACTGTGAAGACCAAGACCAAGTGGCTGGGTGACACAAGCTATGCAACGGCTATCGTCTGACAGATTCCGGGTAGCTCGGGAAAAGCTCTGAAAAATCAGAATTTCCACTGCTAACTTATTTATGACCTCCCTTTTTTGTATAATCATAATATCAAAAAATATTGTAGCAACATCAGTTTGTAACTGGCTTGCCTTAGCTCTAAATTGGCTACCTGGCCTGGGCAAAGTACAAGCTTAGCTGCTCCTGGGCAGGAAATTCCTTTGACTGAAGACAAAAGGCAAGCTCCTGGACAGATAAGACCCCGGAGCATTAAGACTCCTGGAAAACTTCTTTGGTCTTTTTGACAAAAAGCGATTCTTAAGATAACTCTCAGGGCATAAGAACCCATGGACAATTTCCTGACATTATCAACACAGGTTTTGCTTAATGCACAACTATGTGACTTCTTAATTTACTCTTTTCCTAAAACAATCACTAACTACTCTCTGCGAGTCTTATTTAACCTCTTCCTAAAACAAACACTAGCAACTTCTGCTAACCTTAAGTTAGCCATTAGCTTCACTTTAGGCCATCACTGACGACTCTGCTAACACAATTTATTCCTTCCCTAGAACTCTTAAATCCTTTGCTAACAGCTCATCTTTTCCCAGACCCTGATCCTTTAAAGTCACAGTTAAACATCTGTATACATGAAAGTTATCACAAAGATGTATAGTATAGTGTGCCAGAAAGTAGCAGGAAGAGGATGCATTGTTCCCCTCTTCCTTTAAAACTTTTATGCCGATTTCTTATTAACTTACCTGAGGCATTATTGTAACTAAATCTTGCTAAACAGTATAAATAAAGACCTGCAAAAGGATGAGCAGGAAGATTTGCACCCAACTCCGACTCCCTTGTCTTCCTCACTCCCTCTCCCCCCTCTTGGAATCTCTGCACGCCGACGCCTTCCCATCTTAGGGTCCTGCCTGTGTTACCTCCACACACCTCAAAAGTTGGAGCTGGTCTCCGACAGCTGGGAACTGGCAATGAGTGTGCTAACCTATTGTGCCTGATGATGTCTGGGTTGCTTGGGTTAAAAGCTCCGTTTTTCCAAGAGCAACTTTCACTTAACAACCATTATCTTGGGTGGTTTTTGAGTAAGCCATGGACACACTTTACATCGTGTACATGCTTTTCCCCCTTAACTTATCTGTGAACCATGTTAGATTTTGAGGTCTTTAAGAACTCAGCATTGTGCCTTAATAAATGCTTGATTCAATGTGATTTGATTTACCCAATCAAGATCTGTTTGGAAATTTTGCTGTCTTAAATATGCTGACTTGGGGGCCCTCCCTGGTGGCATAGCAGGTTAAAGCACAGCACTAAGAAGCTAAAGCTACTTCAGCATGAGACCGATCCCCGCCCCCGAGGTGATCTACATGGTGCGGCAGACCTCTCCTGACCCGCCCATTGCTCCCCTCAGCAGTGTACTTTGTCCATCTGCCTATTCTGCTCCCCACTCTGTCTCTGATGAATCCTCTCACTGCCCCTGCACCTCTGGCCTGTACCCCAGTTCTGTATGCATAAATAAATAAATCTTTAAAAAGAAATGCTGACTTGACCCAAGTGACCAGCACGGAAGCGACTGTTAGGAATGGACTCCCTTCACCCGGCATGAAGGCAAGTTAATATTTCTCTCCAGCTAGTAACTTTTGCCCCACTGTGGGAAAGGCATCTCCTAGATGGAGCGAAGCAGTTACAGTAAACTTGCAATTTCCCTCATTTAGTGATCATTCAACCAAACTTGTATTCCAAACTTCATGCTCTCAGAGGCATGAGGGCTTTTTCTCACTGAGGCCATGGTCTGGATCACTGGATGTGATCCAGTGAGTTCATGTCTTATGATTCTGTAGTGTACTCATGACAGAGCATTTTTGAAATGTATTAAATTTTTCAATTCAATAGCATGAGCCAGACATGCTGTAGCAATTCTATTCTTTGTAAAACAGTGATAAAGCAAAGTAAAATAAAATTGAAATAAAGAACGGATTCCCCTCAAACATGACAAGCTCCCCATATTCTCCTTTCTCCATTTGGGGGGGTTACATGAATACATTGGTAGGGACCCACCCCATCCTGGCTACTTTGCTCTAGGGGGATACTTTTTGGATAGGGGATATCTGCTAGACCACTGTAAGGAAAGGAAGTGATAGTGAGATACTGATGCAGATAGGACTATTTGAATTCCTCAAGGAAATGGAGCACAGGAATAGCTTTCTGTGTTGGAAAAAATTTGCACAAAATTCATCTTTGTATGTATGTATATGTGTATTTATGTGGAAGCAAGTTTGTAAATGTGCTTTTTTTCTGGGGGAGGTATTAAACATTTCATTGGATTCTCAGAGTGATGTGGGGCCTCCAAAATTTAAATGTCTATTTAAAGTATTTTAGTGTGCATGAACAGAATCTGACTTTGAAATGTGAAGCTTCTACTTTGCAATAAGTTTCCTCAATGAAGGTTAACTCTGAACTTCTTGTGCACCCTGCACCTTGAACAGCAGTGCCAGCATGCCATGGTCAGTTGAGTTGTGTTTGGACAAAACGCATGAGGAGGGGAAAGAAGTCTTACCCGAAAACCAGCACTGTTGCTGCATCGGCAGCGTGACACTGATGCAGATAGGACTACTTAAATAGTCCTATCAACAGGGGTCTGGAGCAGGCTGCACAATGCAGGATGCTGCTAAACAAGCAAGAGCCTGGCCTTTTTACTGACAGAATAATATACAGCATCAGTTACATGAGGCAGGCGGACAAGGAGAAAAGATGGGTGAAATGAACTGATGTGTTTTTGTCATCTAGGGCTTCCGGGAGATGTGAGTCTGCTGACCAGACAATTCTTACCGGCTTGATGACCAAATGTTGTAACCCAAACCAGACCCCAGACCCCTGGCCATAGTTCCAATCTTACAACAAGGCGTTCCATTGATTAGCTTCTGGGGTCCCTTGTCATACATCGGTGCTCAGCCCCTCGGTCGTTCCCAGTCATACCTCGTGATGCATAGCCTTCTAAGGGTGATCAGGCTTTCTGCTTCTGGTTGACTCGAAAGGTTCCTTGTAAAGTTTGGCTCTTATGACTGATTGGCCGGTCAGTTCTGACCTTGTATAAGAATGCAGACCTGCAGGTAATAAAGAATAGTGGATGAAGAACTGCTTAATTGTAGCAGAACTACACCCATGAAGATGGCATCATCCAATGTAGCTCATGCCCTTACCCACTATGGTGTGCCCACTGAGCAATCAGAGTGAGGAATTTGTCTCTTCCTGAAAAAGCAAGACTTTTCCACTTTATTTGTACATTTTGAAATTTCCATATACTTTTCCAGCTATGACTGCTACCCAGCTTTTATATATAAAGGATGCATATCCATAAAGATTTTATATTAGATCCTTAAAACATTCTCCAGGAAGTAGGGTGTCCATGACAATAAAAAGGGGCCTGATTTCCCTTATTTAGGGGTCTATTTTCTTATTATTCTTTTCTTAAAAGGAAGAAGAAAGGAGCAGAAATCTTGTGAGATCCCACAGTTTCAAGTATGCAATAAGCCAATCCAAGCGGAGCTGTTACAACAGGAGCTGGCCTGAGAGCAACAGGTGACTTTTCTAACTAAGTTCGCACAGTTTGAGTTAGGTTAGCCGTCTACCACTACAAAGCAAGAGGAACAAAAAACATCCCTGCTCACTACTCCCCACCCCCATCTTAAAAAAAAAAAAAAAAAGCAGCTGCTTGAAGCGCTGGTTCAGCAAATGTTTTTCCTTATTATAGTTTGCAAAGAACATGACTTGGAGGCTTTTTTTTTTTTTTTTTTTTTTTTTTCCCTTCGCTTTCTCTCCGCCCCCGACTGTACCATTAACTCCTAAATACTGGGGTGACTGCAAAGGCTGGTGAGTAAATCAGCCCTTTACCACATACTTACATACTTTCCCAGCATTTCATGCGTGACAACTCTTGTTGCTTCTTTTTTTTTTTAATTGTTTTATGATAATCAGTCGAGGGATTTGCTCTGTTTTCGAGGTCACAGTCAGAGTGGGTACTGAACTTTGGACTGCAGCTGAGGGCGAGGTAAACAACAGGACTATAAATAACAGCGCAGTCCTCCTCTGGCTTTGTAGAGCTACGGAGCTGAGCTGGGGGCTCACGGGGCTGGCGTAAGTAGCAACTTCGTGTTTTCTTGATTCTTTTAGAGTGTGGCAAATCTTCTGAGTCTGATAAAATGTTTCTTTTCTTAGAATGGACTTTAAAACAAGAGATAGTATATAAAATTGAATCGTAATTTAAAAATCATTTTGTAACTCTCCTGAAACCATGTAAACTTCTTATGTGCAACCTTTATATATGTTGTGCACAGGAGCGAAACGTGATGTGTTAAACCTGCTTCTGAAAAAGTTTTCAAAATTTGCCTTAAATGTTTAAGTAACCTCCCCTTTTCACCATACAATACATATAGATACACATATATTTACATATATACATGTGTATGTAGATATACACACATACATAGTTTTATCAGGTATACATAGGAGTATAACTGGAATCTTTATTTAAATGGTATTTGCCACCCTGAAGGAGAGGGGTAAAAATCAATATCCAGTATATTTTACTGTTTCAAATTATTTAAGTTTGTGATTTACCATTAAAGAAAAGGCAGACAAAGGAAAGAGGAGCAAAGAGTCTGAAACTGGGCGTGGTGGGCACAGATTTGTGGTGGGCAACTGATAGCTGTTGAGTTCTTGCTGCTCTCTGCACAGCCTGGACAGGAGGTGGGAGCAGGGAAGGCTGCACAAGTCTGAAACTTGCCCTTGGCACAAAGCCACAATGACATATAAGCATCCTATGGGTCCCAGCTTAAAGATCTCCCAGTGAAGGCAGAGGGAAAACTCCAGGAGGAAAGCCATTGCAGGGATTTGAAGGTCAGAGAAAACAATATGGCCCTTACACAGCTACAGACATAACCAGGAATACTGTGAGCAGATTCAGAAAAGAAAGGTTTGATTTCCTGTGCAGAAGTGGTCGTCCTTCAAAGAATTAAAATATGTCAAAATTGGGTGGTTTATGAATAAATGCAAAATCTTTTTCCTTTCCTCTCTCATTCCATTTTTCTCTTTTTCTTTAGTTAGGTTCTTCATCAAGCTATCCAACATATATAGGAATTTTGTGGTGTAAATAAATTCAAGGATAATCAGGTTAAAAAATTTCTGTTCACATCTTCCTGCTGCCTTCTTTCTCCTGATCTTCTCTTTCCAAGTGTACTTTAGAGTGCTTAGATAAATATACTCAATCTACTTAGCCTTTTGACTTCCCTCTCAATTCTGGGCTCACAGCAGGTAACTTGTTATTTTGTTATTAGTTACTGTCTTTTCCTTCCCTAATCACTCCCCTTTTATGCCTCCTGCTTCTCCCAAGAAAGTGCTTTTACTTTTTTTTTTTTTAAAGATTTATTTATTTATGCATACAGAACTGGGGTACAGGCCAGAGGCTCCGGGAGGTGAGAGGCTTCACCAGAGACAGAGTGGGGAGCAGAACAGGCAGATCGGCGAAGTACACTGCTGAGGGGAGCAGCGGGCGGGTCAGGAGAGGTCTGCCACACCATGTGGTCACCTCCGGGGCAGGTGGGAATCGAACTCATGCGGAAGTGGCACTCAATGCAGTGCTTTAACCCACTGCGCCACCAGGGAGGGCCGCTTTTACTTTTTGAGTCCAGATCAGTGTCTGGAAATGCACCAACTTCCTAGTTCTGGAATTTTGTCCTCATCTCTCTCCATAGACTCTTACATGAAGAGGAGCCTGATTAACTGTGTGGATTTTTCTTTCTCAGCTCAATGTGTCCTTTTCCCCTTCTTTTAACCAATTCTCTGTAATTCACCTTTCTTATTTATACCATTCAGTTGAGAAACCTAGCCCTAGTTTTGGGAACATTTTTGATCAGATATTTTAACTTTCCTACTCAGAAGGGGGAGTTTTACAACCCAGAATGTGCCATTTCATCACAGTAACTTCCTGAAAAGTCAATTTCAGTGACAGACAGGGACAGGGACCTGAGACTTTTTTATTTATCTTGGATGCAGGAGTAACAGCTTGGCAGGCAGTCTTGTATTCAAAGAGATTCAAACACTTTGGTGTTAACAGTGCTACTTTTTAGAGAGGAACAAAAGGAAGCCACACCTGATTCCTAAGTTTGGAAAGTTGGAACCTGAAGAACCAGGAACTCAATACCAGCCTTTTCCTGCTCCCTTCTTTCTCCTGGTCTTCTCTTTCCAAGTGTACCTGTGCAGGATCCATCATTTACCTTTTAGATTTGTATTAGCCTGAAAGCAGCCAGAATTTGGTTTGCTCCAGCTAAAGTCAAATTGTGTTTACACAATGTTATTTAACAGTAGAGGTCACAGTCCCAAAGTTTTTCTAAACATGTATCTTCTAGGGAAGTGCTGGCAGCCTGTTCAGGCAAATCTCCCATTCTGTGGTTACTAAAGTATTTTGTTAAGCCAGATAGTTAAGTGGTACTTTAACTACGCCCAGCCTCTGGCTGATCTTTCCCATTACAGGCAGATTTAGTGCAAGGGAGGCACAACTAGAGTCCAGCAACACACAGATGGAATCCATGGGCCAGGCATTTATAGGAAGTAAATTATAGACATTTCTAGTTATGCCTCTGGAGTCATCTATGAAGATGATAGAAAGGTTTCCTCTTTTACAGGACAGCCCCAGCCATGTGGAGGAGCCTGGGGCTTGCCCTGGCTCTCTGTCTCCTTCCTCATGGAGGAACAGAGAGCCAGGGGCAAGGCTCTCTTTGCAAGCCGCCTCCACCCTGGAGCATAAAGGATGAAGATCCAATGCTGAACTCAAATGGTTCAGTAACAGTGGTGGCCCTTCTTCAAGCGAGCTGACACCTGTGCGTTCTGCAGGCATCTAGGTAAGTCTTTTCATGGGGTAGGACTTCTTCAAAGGGAAAATAATTCATACATATATGTATACATACATGCATAAAGTAAAACTAGAAAGATGCATTTATCAAACCACACTTAAAAAAAAAAGATTTATTTATGCATACCGAACTGGGGTACAGGTCAAGGTGCAGGGGCGGTGAGAGGATTCACCAGAGACAGACTGGGGAGCAGAACAGGCCGACTGACGAAGTACACTGCTGAGGGGAGCAGTGGGCGGGTCAGGAGAGGTCTGCTGTGCCGTGTGGGTCACCTCTGGTGCAGGGATTGAACTCATGTGGAAGTGGCTTTAGCTTCTTAGTGCTGTGCTTTAACCCCCTGCACCACTAGGGAGGGCCCCAAACCACATTTTTAAAAAACTACTTTTGCATAGAATTTACTATTAGAAAAGAAGCCTAGGAGGATAAACACCAAATTGTTTACAGTGGTTTACCTGAGTCTATGAATTTTTTTCATCTTTTATTATACACTACTAAATATGATTACTTGTGTAACGAAAATGTTCTAAAGGATACTCTTGCAAATGGATTAGTTATTATAACATAGAAGCAAAAACAAGTGCTTTGCCAGAGTAGAATGAGTGCTAAACTAAAGGTCTACTTGGGTCATTTACCAAAAAGAAAAAAAAATACATGAAAAATACTTGTTTGGTTATTTGCTAAATATTTATTGCATATTATTCTCTGTAACTGCCAAATTAATTTAAAAATATATATTTCACAGGATTAAGGATTAAGTGAGCATTTAACATAAGCCTTTAACTGAGCACAAGGCTCACTAAATAATTTAAAAAATAGGAGTTTTAGTTTTTTACAACTGTATAAAGAAATTACAGGTAAAAAAAAGTAAAGAGTTTCATGTTAAAAAAAAGAAAGTGAGATTTCACTAGTAAAATTAAATGCAATTATTCCTTTTTCCTTGTATTTTCCCAAATATTTTAGATTGGAAGACCTGCGAGTAAAACTGGATAAAGAAGGATACTCCAACATCTCTTATGTTATTGTTAACCACCAAGGAACTGATTCTCAACAAAAGTATATGCTTCTTAAAAATGAGGTTTCAAAGCATATTCCTGTTTACCAACAAGAAGAAAACCAAACAGATGTCTGGACTCTCCTAAATGGAAACAAAGATGACTTCCTCATATATGATCGGTATGTGAGCACTTGGGCACACACACACACAACACTCCAAATTAGAAGATACTATTTTTGTATTTGACATTAAATGTTTTAAACTATCTGCTTTTGTTTTATCACCACCAAACATTCAGTTTCAGTGTGAGCCCATGTTTGGTTTTAATATATTTTGAAATAACTTTTTTTCACAAAAGAATTACCCCTACCTTTGAAAAATCCTTTTAAATAAAAAGGATTGATTTGTATTCCAGCCCAGGAATTCTGTGAATTCACCATATTTCTCAGATGACCTTCTTATCTCAAATCTAATTATTAGCTTTAAGACACTTACCTGAATTTATGAACTATGAAGTGTGTTAATCACTTAGGTGTTATCTGCATGAATCTGCTTTTGATTCCATGAACTAATAAAACATTCATATTTTGAGGGAACCTCAATGCACATACATTATCTGCTATTAACCAACATTCTAGTTGGTACTCAGTTTTCTTCAGGAGGGTGACTCAGACTCTGCCTAGGCCTCCATCGATTTAGTCTTCCTTCAGATATTTTAAAACCTCATTTCTTTTTGATACCTCCAAACTTCCTAAAGTTAGTCATTTGCAAAGTACAATCCTTTCATAGTCACATAAAATTGTATCTACTGAGTAAAATGTGGCCAAAAAGAACATTTCTACTCCACCAGTTCTGAGAATGCCAAATGTTATGTAATGCCATTTGTTTCATTGTGCTGAAATTTTGGTCAAGACTGGTCAGAAATCCAGGATGTTTTTGTTATGCTGTGATTTTTTGTTTTGTTGAATTTGTGATTAGAAAAGCTCAGATAATTTGAAGAGCTTAATTTAGGATAAATCCCAATGATGGTAATTCACAGTTTGATGTTATTTACAGTAACATATTGGTAACATTTCAAAACACCCTCTAGTGTTGTGGTGACTTGCCCTGGTGGGTAGTTCCAGGAGGCCTTTGGGATCCCACTCTAGGAAACTTGACTGAAGGTATAACACAATCTTAGACATAAGACCATTAAACCTATAGTTCTATCCCAACCCATGCTTGTGTAGCATTCCAGTAGGAAAAATACTGTAATAACATTATATTTGTCCTATTCTTTCTTTTAGATGTGGCCGCCTTGTATATCATTTTGGGTTGCCTTTCTCCTTCCTAACATTTCCATATGTAGAAGAAGCCATTAAGACTGCTTACTGTGAAAAGAAATGTGGAAGCTGCTCTCTCATGGTATTTTTCTCTATTATTTTTACTGGGAGAAAAGAGGAAATCTTAAAAGCTAATTAAATAAGCTAGTGTTTCATCACCAATAAATGATCGATGTTTCTGTAAGTGTACTAAAAATCAAGAATAGCTTTCATCCTTACACACACTTCCTGCTGTGAACAGACTATATAAAATCTTTTTAAGATGCACAGTGCCACTTTTTTCTAGAAGACTTCTAAAAAGCAAAAGTCAATGTAGATCACAGTTTTTAATTATCACCAATGATGTTGTATGAGCGCTGGAAGAGATCAGACAAGAAAAGTGTTACTGTTCTCAGCAAAGTAGAGAGGGTGAACAAAGCTTATTCATGGCGTTAACCTGAAATGGGGCTGGTGCCATGCTACCTCCTTCTTCTGTCAAGAGTGCTAGTCCATCAGCGTTCTTGTCAAGCCCTTACACTGCCTGCTCACCTCCAGTTGGAGTTGCTGCATTTATCTCAAAATGGATTCAGTTTTCTACTTGTTACTGTATTCCTTTCCTATCAAAATGAGAACATTTATTCCTTTTTATACTCATTATATTTTAATATGAATTCAGGAGACTTCCCTCCCCCCTTCATATTGAGTAGGAAAACAATTATGAACAATGTTTTCTTCATGGAGAATACTGACAACATTTGAACTCAGGTTTCAAAAGTTTCTGAATTTCATATATAAATATATATGTATGAATTTCTTTCAGATTTTTCCCAACTCTAAAGAAAGTCATCTCATTTTTAATTATTTAACTAATTTAGTTGCTAAGGGGTACAACAAGTAAATTAATTTTGTTATATCACTTTTCACATTTCAGTCTTCACAATAATCTTATGAGGAATATTTTACTGATGGGGACAGAGGTAATGCAGATAGAGTAGCAACTCAATGTCTACTTTAGATTAAGGTTTTAATAAATGCTATTTATTTATTTTGATTTCTCATATTTCGGGGTCATTTTAGTACTTTGTATTTTTGCAAATGCCTAATGTTACAAATATATACCTAATTGTCTTGAAACAAAGACAGAAGCAACTCCTATAATATGCTTAAAATTTATGAACCACATGCAAATAAGAATATGCCATAAGTATCTGAAAAGTGTGTAATCAAGTTTTCTATTTCAATGTATCCTAGATGTCACTGATTATGACACATTATTTTATATACACTAAAAAAGTGCTGCCAGTTAAAGTAGGATACATGTTACAATATCATCAGTAGTATTTTGATTTTAAAGATACTAAAATGTTAAAAAAAAAAAACCACATTGTAAATTCAGTGCAATATAGTTTTGGTTTTTGAAAAGTAGTTATACTATTACTATAGTTAGTTGTTAAATTATTGAACATTAAAAATACTACAGAGTATATTTTAGATATTTATCCAATTTTTATGTTTTTAATATAATGATTATGTTCTCTGAGGTAATAATAAAAACATGTAACATTTAGTAGCTGTATGCTAAAATCCTATGGAATTTACAATCTTTCAAAACCTTTAAACTACCAAACTACAGGGCTTTCTCTGGTTGCACAGTGGGTTAAAACATAGCACTATGGGTCTGTCTGTGACCACTGCAGCAGGAGTTCCATCCCCAGCCAGGAGCTGACCCACAAGGCAAAGCAGACCTCTCCCGACCCATCTGCTGCTTCCTTCAGCAGTGTATTTCAGTGGATCTGCCTGTTCTGTTCCCCACTCTGTCTCTGGGGAATCCTCTCACTGCCCCTCCCCCACCTCTGCCTACCCCCCAGCTCTTGTATTCATAAATAAATTAATCTTTTAAAAAAAAAATCAGCCTAGGTTGAAGTTTAATATTATTGCTCTAGCTTTGAGGCTATGATTTGTGGGGGGCACAAAAAATAAAGGATTAAGTGAATTAAAGTAGTGGATTCATGCATAACAGAACATTATGGTCAATGGAAAATGGGCCATAATTTACCAGTTTTAGCCGATCAGACTGTAATAGGACACATTTAGAAAGCTTTGGTGAAGTTCAAACACTTCCTGGTATAAGCTGAAGTATGAAAAAACCTCTGATTAGGAACAACCTATTGGCATTTTTGAATTATTAGAGAAAACTTGCTTGTTTTAGAATATAGTATTCAATTCCATGAATGATTGGTACAGGTGAGAAAAATCCCTTTCAGGTCAACCTATTTTAGGGTTTGCTATTTGATTGACACTATTGTAGTCAATCTAAGTTCCTTTAACCAGTTCATTGATTCTTATTCCTACAGATGTAAATATAGTCTTGTGTTGTTCTCAAGTTCTTTTTCAGAATTCTTGAAAATTTAGCAAATGCTTTTGATAAACAAAGGAAAATTTTAATTTTGCTGTCAGTTAAACTAGCATAGAAGTTTAGGTGAACGTGCTGAACTTGAGTTGTTTTATATTCTTACATTCTATTTATAAACTATTAATGCTAATTCGTCTGTAAGATGCTTGAGGAGTCTTTGAATAGTTGCAAACTTTGCACAAGAACTATTTTATAAATTAGATAAGAACAAGAACAAAACTTATTTGAAAAAATGAAGGGGTTGAGGCAGACATCAAATTCTTTCCTCATCCATGAACGCTAGAAAAAAACCCAATTCAATCCTAATGAACAAGTAGGAATTTCAGTATGTTAGATCTAAAAATCACTTTTCATGTATTTGTGCTAAATTTACAAATTTGATGATGAGTGATTTATCAATCTGTTTCAGACATCGGGAGATGAAGAATTCTGTAAAAATATCTCTTTGGCTGCTGTGGAGAAAACCACCGAGGCTCTGCCGCCACATCGGCACAACCATCAGCATCCGCATCCCCACCCCCACCCCCATCCCCATCCCCATCCCCGTCCAGGTCGTCTGTATCCATATCATCTTTGGCTAGGCCTAGGCCACCAGCATCTGGGGAGTCAGCTCTCAAAGGATCAGCAACCAGATGCATCAGCTGCCCCATCAGCTGCCCCGGAGCATCCCCATGCCCCGGGACACCAGCACCCACATAAGCACCAGGGCCAACAAAGAGAGGGGAACCCAGAGAACTGAGATACGCCAGGAAGCGAAAGTTTACAACTTTCTCTTCTACAGAAGAAGCTCTGACGAAGGGGTTGTATAAATCAGTTACTCTGAAAGATGCCCCAAGTTTCAGAGTTGGCTCCTGGTAGCTGATGCTGACACTGACGACATCTGATATTTGAAAAAACAGGGTCTGCAGTCACCTGACAGTGTAAGGAACACCTCCCTTCTTTATGTAGCTGACAGGGACTTTGGGCAGAGGAAAACGTCATTGAATCTTGACAGTGACGTTTGCCTCCAGCTGCCTGACAAACAAGTCGGCAGCAGCCCATGCCCACAGAAGCTAGCACCAAATGAAGCTGAAAAGATCAGGCAGAAATGTGAAAATGACCTTCAAACTAAATATTTAAATTAGGTTATACTGCCCAAGTCTTCCTAGACACAATGTCATTTCCAGCATTGTTTATAAAGTTACCTAATTAGTGATCTAAACACAGGAATTGGATTTGTGCCAACACGGAAACATCTCCTATCTTGGCTTCCAGATTTTAGAATCTATAACAAAGAAATATTGACCAAAACCATATTTTTATTACGGTGCAACTGAAAGGTGATTGTAGCATTTGGTTAATATGGCTTTCATTTTCTTTTTCCAGTATTCTACTTGCATTAATGAAAACAGAAACACAAACTATGACCTAGGGGTTCCTGTTGGATAGTTAGCAATTTAGAATGGAGGAAGACAACAAAGACATATTTTCCATTTTTTCTTATTTCTGAAAACAATATTATCTGTCTTTTTAATCTTACTTTTAAAATTGATTCACCATTAAAGAAGTGAACTGTCTTTACGATTCAGAAAAACTTAAACATGAGTATCTTTCTATGTTTTAAAATATGCATTTACACCTTTTATATCTAAGACTCTTATCTTGATTTTTTACTATCATATATGAGTGAAATCTCTATATCTTGTTTTCTTTATCTAGCATTGAACCGCACTGTAAAATTTGAAAGATACAAGGGGAAAGATCAAGAAAAATTTGATTTTCACTGTTGACTGTTTAGAAAGCATTTCCATAGTCAATGATGGTTCAATAGGTAAACTAAAGCCTATAAACCTGAACTTCTTTATGGTTAATACTGTTAAGCTGTTCAACAGAAAGCAGTACATGGTTGGCCAGTGTGGATTTGTTTCAATAAACTCAATACATACATTTAAAGCTGTCTTTCTTTTTTGTTTGGAAACTGTTGAGGTTTTTTTTTTAATTAAAGCAGTTCTTACATAATATAAATGCTTTTGGCATCACAGAAAAGACTCTCTCTTCCTTGAAGTCATGAAGTCAAAGCCAGGCAGGTGCAGAGACTTGTGGTAGGGTAAGGAAAGGGCAGGAAAGGGAGGGATGGGGCTGATGTCAGGCAACTGCTTAGGGGCCCATCCGGCCCAGACTAAGCTTCCAGCTTCCAGCCCCTTTCCAGTCTTCCATTACCTGCCACTCTTTTTGAAAGATCGCTGTTCAAAAGTATCAGTAACTCACACATAACAAATATACACAAACCTCATGGTGTACATGGCTGTAAAGTTATCTTTATAAATCATTATTATCAGCGAAGTAGTATGTTATATTGACAACAGCAGTAAACATTTCAACTGCTTTTAAAGAAATTAAATAGCATTGAATGAATTTACTGCTATACTCAAAACCGTTTACGTTTGACAAGAGATGTTTTGTCAGTAGGCTTAAGGCAAGAATCTTTGCTCACAGAGAGGCGCTGCTCTAGATCATGAATGGTAGTGCGAAGAATTGCAATCTCCTTATTTTTTTCTTCTTGAAGGTGTTGAAGTTTCTAAGTGAAGCAGAGATAACTGATTTTTGCAATTCAAAAATAAGATTAAGTACAAAGAACAAGAAAAAAACAAAAACTACAAAATGACCCCTTATTTTGGAAAGCCTGTAATTTCATTTTGGTGGAACTTAATGGGATAACATTGGTATAAAGATGCCAAAATCACATTAGGAGCATTTGCCTTTTTTTGTTTTAGTTTGCTTTCATTTTACTATATAACTGACATTAGAAACCATAAGGAAGATTTGCACAATAGGAAATCTGGGTGTCTAAATAACTTCAGGGTAATACCCCACTCTATAGTTGGAAATCTATGGTGGAATTCCACAGATGGTCCAAAGAGAAGGCGTCTCTAACCTTTTAATTTACTACTAAGATCTATTAGTTTAAAAGTAATTTTAAAAGTTTATTCAAATTCTAATATCTCCCCGATTGTGTGGTGTACTTCAAGAAAATATGTATATTGCTAGTAAAACTGGATAATTTTTATAAAACATGAAGAAAATGAGTTTTTGTTTAAGAAATAGATCACAGAAGAAAAACACATACCCTTCTGTAGATACTCTGTGGCAAAACAGTAGACTCTGGATATAACTTTGATTTAGTTTGAACTCTTGCTAGTTTGGCATCAAACTGAATAAAGTTAAAAAAGAAAGCATTGAGAACATTCTGATCAAGCAATGAGAAACAACTGTTTCTATAAATATAATACTTTTTGACACATAATATACAATTTAAGTGTATTTTATGTATAACAGGATATAGTTTTTCTTTATGAAAGAATTATTAAGAATGACTAAAAGGAGATTCAAGCAAGATTAACCCTGGCTACCTATTAAAATTATTTTGCGGTCCCTCCTTGGTGGCACAAGGGGTTAAAGTGCAACACTATGAAGCTATCTGCAGCCAGTGTGGCATGAGTTCAATTCCCAATCAGGAAGCTGACCCACATGGCTCAGCAGACCTCTCCTGCCTGCCTGCTGCTCCCTTCAGCAGAGTCAGTCAGTCTGCCTGTTCTGTTGCTCACTCTGTCTTTGGTGAATCCTCTCACCTCTTCTTACACCGCTGGCCTGTACTCCAGTTCTTGTATGCATAAATAAATCTAAAAACAAATTACTTTGGGAACTTCTTAAATGTAACAACTACCTCGGTACTACCTTTGAGATTCTGAAGGGATTTAGCCTAATCTTTTTCTCAAGGCATTCGGGAACTATCCTGCAGGACTAAGACTCTAGTTAACAAGGGTTGAGAATTTATATGTTTTTTTTAAAAATGAAGTATAATCTATACTTATAGGAGAAAAATTCATATACCCTTTTGTAGAAACTGAAAGTGAATAGAATTTGGAGGTGGTTTTGCTGATTTTTAAGTTTTATTGGCTTGATATTAAACTGAATTAGGTTAAAAATTTTGTCTAGGCCATTCTTATGGTCCATATTTTTTGCAAAATCTTGGAGAGCGATCCCTCTACTGGTATGATTACTAACCAGTGATCATACACTCTCCAACACTGGACCTCACAAAGTGTCCCAGGGATGCCAACTTATAAGAACACAGAACTGTAAGCCCTTGAGTTCTGCAGACATAAAGTAAAATGGGACTCCAGCTGATGGACAGTCATGGAATGATTATGGAAAGCATCACTGGCAGAATGAAACTAAAGAATGAATGGCAAAATTTAAAAGACAACTGTTTTGTGAAAACAGCACTTTTTTTTCTTGAGATTCTAACATCTAGTTAACAAACCTATTGAAAGTCTTTAGAGCAAATAACTGGAACCTCAGCCTTCAATAGGGCCTATTTGAAGTCACTTAAACTTTTTAAAAACAATTTGATGTGTTTGTATATGTATATTGGCTGTACATTTTCCCATACATTTATTAGGAAGAATTTTTTTCTCTTTCCCTTTTTTAAAAAAATATTTATTTTTATTTATGCATACAAGAACTGGGGGTGTAGACCAGAGGTAGGGGGAGTGAGAGGATTCACCAGAGATAGAGTGGGTAACAGAGCAGACAGATTGACTGAAAGGAGCAGTTGGTGAGACAGAAATCTGCTGCACCTTGTAGGTCACCTCCCTAGCTGGGGATCCAATTCAGGCTATAGTTGATGGTAGCACTGAGACTTATACCCTAGGCCACCAAGGAGGCCTTTTTTCCTCATTTTTATCCTAAGTAAAAGCAAAAGGAATTTCTAGTTGGTTCATCAGATTTTCGCAATTTCTGCTGAGGAGAGTGTAAAGATTAGAAACAATCTCCACACTGCTTAAATGTTAGTCCTGTGAAGACTGATTATTGATTGATTGCTGATTGATTAAGCTGTAAATCAGATCCATTTTGAATTATCTGTTCCTGCTTTCTTAGGAAACCATCTCGCTAGAAACCAGCATTTTCTCCATGACTGAAGAGCTCCACCTTCAGGCCAAATGCAGACAAGCAGGGTGGCAAACAACTGTTAAAGCATTTGAGCATCACTTGTGATGAACAAGTGTGTGGCACTCTTTTGCAAGGTTGTTTCCGCACTTGAAATTTCTCACTGCAATGAAAAATAACGAAAGTATGTCCTAGATGAAGGGATGCATCCTCAAGTTTAGTAAATCTTAAACACCCACCTCTAGCTGTAGTTTGATTATTTCATTTTGCTTTTCCTTTTCTTGAGTTCTTAACTTTGCATTTAACTCTGAAATTTCTACCTCCTTTTTCTCTATCAGTTCTTTATGCTTTTCTTCATTTAATTCAACTGAATGAAACAAAATAACCAAATTAATTTGTCTTATTAAAAAATCTTAGAAATATTTCTTTAGCATTTCAAGTAATATAGAAGAAATTTCACTAATAAAAACATATCTCAGAAACTATGTGCAGAATAGCTTTTACATATTTTTGACAAATCTGTAAATTCATGAAATACAAATGTTAGCCATCCAAAGCTTTTGAACAAATAAACTAACTCTACTTTTAAAAATCAATGGCCTAGAAAATAAGTAGGAGATTCAGTGATTAAAGAAGGACACGAAGCTCGGGTTCCTAGTATACAGGATCCTGCGTTATTGGATGACTCTAGAGTCACATCAAGTTCCTGTTATATTCTATAACATTATTCACACCACGTCTCTAAACTTCATCATGTTTCCTTTCACTCAGCTATTCTATTTCTGTCAATGACACCATCTCATCCAGGATGGGAACCTCACAACTTATTTGATTTTTGAGAAATAAATGTCAATTAGTCCACAAAAGCTACAAGTTAGGTACCTTGGCACTGACTAATCTACTTACTTACTTAGTTCCAGGCCTCATTTTTCTCACTTGGATTCTGTGTGTAGGATTTCTATCCCCAGTCTTTACCTCCTACATCCTCTGCCAGCTTAGTCTTCTTGAAGCATACCTTTAAGACTGGCCATTACTTCAAAAACTTTCAGGCATGTCCCATCAATTTACCTTACAATTAAATGGTCAGAGTATCCAGCCTTAACCATAGTTCCTGGCCTTTCTCTTGCAGAACTTTCTGTGGTGTGCAAAGATAAGCTAGACAATGGACTACTATCCCTAAAATGTCCTGTGTCTGCCCACTGTATCTTGGCTTTTTTAGCTTCTCTCTGTGTAAAGACTCTTCTTTCCATCTTCCCAATCAGCATTACCAATATTCAGGACTTAGGATCAGTACAAAGTTTCTGTCTTAGCATGTGATGAGGTGACGCCCAGAATATAGTTGGCTATCCAAACCGTGGAGACACCGACTTCCATCTGCTCTTCGTCTGCTGCCTGCAGCAGCACTGTTGATGACAGCAGTGCAGAGCAGTTGTAAAGGAAACAGGAACTGAAGCATTGTAATGGATCGCCTCCAGATACTAGATCAGAGGATGGGTGTGTGATTTTCCCTGAAATGTTTTGTTCTCAAGATAATGCTGGCTTATGAAATTAGTTGGAAAATGTTTCCTTTTTTTGGGGGGGAGGAGAGTTATTAGTTTTCTGAAAAAGTTTGTGTAAGATTGGCATGATTTCCCCCCACCCCTGAAATACCTGGCAGAATTTCACCAGGAAAGCCTAAGCCTAGAGTTTCTTAGTGAGAAAAATATTTCTCACAGATTTAATTTCCCTTATACAAATATCGAACATTTCAGGTTTTCTTTTTTTTTTTGAGCAATTCAGATTTTCCTATTTCTTCATGTATCTGTGTGCTCTCCCCCAAAGATGTCTAATTCACCAAAAAATTAAAATCTACTGGCACAAATAAATTCATTTATGTTGTCTAATCCTGTCTTAGTGTTTGATGCTCAAAGGATCCAAAGATATTGCAAAACTTATTTTTAAAAGATATTTCTTGGCCCTCCCTGGTGGCGCAGCGGGTTAAAGCACAGCACTAAGAAGCTTAAGCCACTTCCGCATTAGTTTGATCCCCGTCTGCCCGGGAGGTGACCACATGGCGTGGCAGACCTCTCCTGACCCACCCGCTGCTCCCCTCAGCAGTGTACTTCGTCGATCTGCTCCCCACTCTGTCTCTGGTGAAGCCTCTCACCCTCCGCATCTCTGGCCTGTACCCCAGTTCTGTATGAATAAATAAATCTTTAGAAAAAAAAAAAAGAAAAGATATTTCTAAAGTGGCTCCATAACTTTATAATTCTATCCATAATACATACAAATTCCAGTTGCTCTATATCCTTACCAACTCTCGATAGTTCTAAAAGGTACAAAGTGGCATCTCTTTGTTGTTTTAACTTGAATTTTCCTACTGTGAGTTATATGAACATGTTTTCTTGTCCTCTTTTTTTATCTGTGTGTCGCAGAAGAGATCTCTGTTCAAATATTTTGCTTATTTTCTTGTTGGTCTATTTGACTTATTACTGAGTTGTTAGAACTCTTTATATATATTTTGGATATATGCCCTTAGTCAACTGTGGATTTGTAACTGTATTATCCAGTCTATGACCTGTCTTTTTTTTTTTTTTAACAGCATTGAAGGACAGAGGATAATAATTTTGATGAAGTTCAATCTAGAATTTATTTCTTTATTATTGGGACACTGTTGGTGGCTAGGCCATGAAAAAGTCATGAATCTAATTTAGAAATGCAATTTATGCCACATAAAAATCTAGAAATCTATAAGGCAATGTTCATTGAAGAACACTATTACTGAAAATAATTTATAAACATATTTAAATTGTTTTATATCTTGAAATTTGGAAAATTAAAAATGAAAAAAAAACTTACCTTTTTTCTGTATATCCTGATGAAGTTTCCTGATTTCTATTTTATGTCCCTCCTCTTTGATTCTCATTTCACTCATAAGTTTAGCAATATTATTCTTATAATCCTAAAGATTAAAATACATATTCATACTTTGATTTCAGCTTGAGCTTGAAAATCTTAGTTCTGTCAAAATTTGACACATTGGTTCCTGGGAGATAAGTGAAAGATAGTATAAAGACCCTCCAGTGGAGGTTCCTCAAACTGCAAAACATGGAGCTTCCCTACGACCCAGCAATCCCACTCCTAGGTATCTACCCAAAAGACACAA